GGCAGCCCACCAGGCTCCCCCATCCCTGGGATTCTCCAGGCAAGAACACTGGAGTGGGTTGCCATTTCTTTCTCCAATGCATGAAAGTGAAAAGTGAACATGAAGTCGCTCAGTCGTGTCTGACTCTTAGCGACCCCATGGACCACAACCTACCAGGCTCCTCCATCCATGGGATTTTCCAGGCAAGAGTACTGGTGTGGGGTGCCACTGCCTTCTCCGTACCCAACTCTAGCTTTGATTAAAAAATAACTATTTCGAACAAAAAAAGGTTAAGCGTAAATCAAATGCTTTTTGTAACACCTGCCGCTGAAATCAGTTGGGAAGGGATGAGGACTATGCAAAAATAGCAATGGGAACCAAAAACTACATCTGGGAATAACACTGGTTACCACTGCCTAAGGAGAAATTCACAAAAAGGAATTCATCAATCTACTCTCATTAAAACACAATGAAGACAAGGTGTAAATGAAAGCCTCTTCTAAGCAAGCAAAATTTATGCCAACTTTCTTGTAGGGTGTTTTAAATTGAAGCCTATAACCCAATACTAGACATATAAACATCACACACTTCTAATAAACTTTCAATTGACTGAGTGCACTAAATTCTGAGATCAGCTCATTCTACAAAAAAAAAAAAGGGGGGGGGGGGGGCTTGTTGGTTTGCTTTTAGGTTTCCTTTCTGCTTAGTCCAGATCCTCACATCACTTCCACACTTAGACAAGGCAGGGTTAGCAAAAAGAGTTAACAATAGGGCCTCCCAGGTGGCACAGTGAAAAAGAACCCGCTGGCAACACAGAAGATGAGGGTTCCATCCCTGGGTCAGGAGGATTCCCCTGGAGGAGGGCATGGCAACCTGTTCCTGTGTTCTTGCCTGGAGAAGCCCATGGACTGAGGAGCCTGGAGGGCCACAGGCCACAGAGAAGCAGAGTCAGACGTGACTGAAGCGGCCGCAGATATGCACAAAGGTAACAGCAGGATCAGAAATTCACTATACTTGTCAGCATTTCAGTTGTGCACCGGTCAAACGAAAAAAAAGTACTTCTCAGTACTGAAAGAAAGAAAATTCAAAAAAAAGCTAAGAGTAAGTATTTTAATGTGTCTGTGTATTAACTTTGAGTCTGCCTCAAGAACTTTCTTATCAATTGCTATGCTAAGCTTTCCAAGACTATTAAAATGTTGTGCAAAGGCTAGCCATGTCAGCATACCTGATTTTATTAAGTGTTTTGTGTTATTTTTAATTATTGATTATTCTTTTTAAATAAACTTTATGTACAGAAAATAACATTTCCTACAATTCACAGGAAAATATCATTTACTTTTTAATATGTTTTATATAATTTCAAAAAACTTTTTTCTTTCCCATCACTCCATATGCTGGATTTCTAAATTAGTCACTTTTTCAATGAATCAGTGTTTATTCCCTTTATGTCGCTTCTAAAATAATTAAATCAAATCAACAATTATCAAATAGATGTGATTTACAAGATTCTGTATAAGCTGTAGAGGGTTAAATGATAAATTTTAGAAAGCATTTAAAAAAAACAAAACACTAGGCAATTATACATCATCATGTTACATACAAACAGAAAAAGTTACAAACTTCAAACCCTAAATCCAGAGCTGGATTTGAACCTCAGTCTGTTTGATGCCAAAACCAATAATCTGTTCAGTGTCTGACACCTTCTCCTTTGGTAATTTAATAAAGATAATCATACCATGTATTTTAAGAAACATGAAAACTATTCTATAAATAATGCTACCTGGGGAAAAAATTATGAAATAAACAAAGAAAGAAAAAAAAATCCAAGAAAGGAGTGTCAGAGGTCTGGGGACACAAAGAATTGTTTTATTAGGTTTGCCTGTAACCATGAAATCATCCATGGTGATTTCAACATCCATGTATGCACACGGTTCTTCCTCAACCTGTCAGTTCTCTGCTTTCCCCTCCAATTACCTTGCCCTTCATACTCTGTCCTTCACGATAACTCAGATCTTCATCCCCATGGTCCTATCACAGACCTTGCACTAGCAGGAGCTACCTTCCACCATAATCTGAATTTCAAGAACACCATTTTCTGAACACTACTTCCTACCTTTCCACTGCCTTTGCATAAACATATTAGGAAAGGGCTATTTTTTAAATGTCACCAGTTAAACTGCCAGTCAGAAGTAGCAATGTCTTTATTATTTAGATAGCTGAGCTAATATTTTCATTGGCACATATTACTAGCAACTCACCTGCTAAGCTAGCAAAGTTAGAATCAATGTGTAAGGGATTCCAGTCTCCACTGAGCCGGTACAAAGCAGCCTGTGGAGAGAGAATTATAAAAGTAACTAGCATATCAGTGCTTTCTGTGAATACATTAAAATAAAAACAGAAAATATGACTGGTTATTGCACGAGAAATGCATCATAATATACCCAACTCTGCTGCTGCTAAGTCACTTCAGTCGTGTCCAACTCTGTGCAACCCCATAGACGTCAGCCCACCAGGCTCCCCCGTCCCTGGGATTCTCCAGGCAAGAACACTGGAGTGGGTTGCCATTTCCTTCTCCAATGCATGAAAGTGAAAAGTGAACATGAAGTCGCTCAGTCGTGTCTGACTCTTAGCGACCCCATGGACCACAACCTACCAGGCTCCTCCATCCATGGGATTTTCCAGGCAAGAGTACTGGTGTGGGGTGCCACTGCCTTCTCCGTACCCAACTCTAGCTTTGATTAAAAAATAACTATTTCGAACAAAAAAAGGTTAAGCGTAAATCAAATGCTTTTTGTAACACCTGCCACTGAAATCAGTTGGGAAGGGATGAGGACTATGCAAAAATAGCAATGGGAACCAAAAACTACATCTGGGAATAACACTGGTTACCACTGCCTAAGGAGAAATTCACAAAAAGGAATTCATCAATCTACTCTCATTAAAACACAATGAAGACAAGGTGTAAATGAAAGCCTCTTCTAAGCAAGCAAAATTTATGCCAACTTTCTTGTAGGGTGTTTTAAATTGAAGCCTATAACCCAATACTAGACACATAAACATCAAACACTTCTAATAAACTTTCAATTGACTGAGTGCACTAAATTCTGAGATCAGCTCATTCTACAAAAAAAAAAAAAGAGAGAGAGAGAGACTAGTAGCTTGCCTTTAAGATTACATTCTGCTTAGTCCAGATCCTCACATCACTTCCACACTTAGACAAGGCAGGGTTAGCAAAAAGAGTTAACAATAGGGCCTCCCAGGTGGCACAGTGAAAAAGAACCCGCTGGCAACACAGAAGATGACGGTTCCATCCCTGGGTCAGGAGGAGTCCCCTGGAGGAGGGCATGGCAACCCCTTCCTGTGTTCTTGCCTGGAGAAGCCCATGGACTGAGGAGCCTGGAGGGCCACAGGCCACAGAGAAGCAGAGTCAGACGTGACTGAAGCGGCCGCAGACACGCACAAAGGTAACAGCAGGATCAGAAATTCACTATACTTGTCAGCATTTCAGTTGTGCACCGGTCAAACGAAAAAAAAGTACTTCTCAGTACTGAAAGAAAGAAAATTCAAAAAAAAGCTAAGAGTAAGTATTTTAATGTGTCTGTGTATTAACTTTGAGTCTGCCTCAAGAACTTTCTTATCAATTGCTATGCTAAGCTTTCCAAGACTATTAAAATGTTGTGCAAAGGCTAGCCATGTCAGCATACCTGATTTTATTAAGTGTTTTGTGTTATTTTTAATTATTGATTATTCTTTTTAAATAAACTTTATGTACAGAAAATAACATTTCCTACAATTCACAAGAAAATATCATTTACTTTTTAATATGTTTTATATAATTTCAAAAAACTTTTTTCTTTCCCATCACTCCATATGCTGGATTTCTAAATTAGTCACTTTTTCAATGAATCAGTGTTTATTCCCTTTATGTCGCTTCTAAAATAATTAAATCAAATCAACAATTATCAAATAGATGTGATTTACAAGATTCTGTATAAGCTGTAGAGGGTTAAATGATAAATTTTAGAAAGCATTTAAAAAAAACAAAACACTAGGCAAATATACATCATCATGTTACATACAAACAGAAAAAATTACAAACTTCAAACCCTAAATCCAGAGCTGGATTTGAACCTCAGTCTGTTTGATGCCAAAACCAATAATCTGTTCAGTGTCTGACACCTTCTCCTTTGGTAATTTAATAAAGAGTTACATTTTAATGGATAGTATAACCAATATTCCAAAGATTAACTTTATTTAACAAAGATGATAGCTAAAATTCTAATTGTTAGAATAAGTAGTATAAGATATATAACTGGGGAAACTAAAGATATTTGTTTTCTTTCTTCCCAAACGCAAAGTCTGACATCTGTTACCTTCCTATTCTTTGGTCTTTCTAGGTTATTGGGGATGAATTTTCTCTTTATTAATTATGACAAACCATGAACCATACTTGTAATATCATACCAATTTGAAGATCAAGAAATTCTCCTAAAGAAATGAAAAACAAAATATTCCAGAAGTGACACTGGTACAGCTAAAACTATGATTGCCAGTTTTCTTACTGACTAAAAAATGACTCATTTAATTTAAATACCTGGCAAAAAGTTTATGCTATAGTGGCATAATCCATTCCATTCCCACTTCTCCTTAAAGGTCTGTTCATCCATAATCACCTCCCGCCACTCTCCAATGTGAATTCTCTAATTCTTACTCCTTGTACATATATCAAGCTCTTATCTGTTATCATTATTAAATTCTTATCCCCGTCCAGGCCATACTGCAAGCTTTACATCTCTGGTAAGGGAATACACCAGTTTAGTTCAGAAGTCACATTTTTCCTACAAAACTCTTGTGTATCATTCTCTAATAAGTAACACTTCTCTGAATGTCTTACAGCACTTATTCTATAATTTGAAACTTTGTCTTTAATCATTCATTGCTTAGAATAGATGCTCTAGTTATTAAGACATCTACACATTATTTCTAAGAGTACTTTCAGTTCCTTGTCAATAGATCACACTTCTTGATTTGTGTCTCCTACAGTACAGATCTAATTTAAAACAGCTCACAAATCCCCTGAACTTTATGTAAAATTTCATGCAAAATGTTTTGAAAGAAATTGTACATAGTTTTTCATCACATTCTCAAATGACCATATGATACAAATGGCCAGGAACCTCTGTGAAATGATGGGTGCCCATTATTCATACAAAAAAGATCTGTTAACTTATAAACTCTTCTTTGTCACACAGCAAAGTACTCAAGTTGGCTAAAAGTCAAGGAAAAGTTCTATTCGTCTGAAAAGCCAGAAAAAGAAAATCTTTCTGCTTACTGTATAAAGAAACTCAAGTCATGGGAACTATTCAGCTTTCCTTATCTACAGCAGATACATTTTATTATTTCAGAAACCCAAGAATAATAATGGAGCATTGCCGGGCTTTCTGAACCATGAAACCACAGTCTTTTCTGTTCTTCAGTGCCATAATAAAATTAATTTCACTATGAAGCTTTAAACATAAATATGAGTGTTTTCTTAAGAAATTGATAAGAAATAGGGATGGGAAGAACATTTAAAGGCAAAAACTAATCTGAGATGAAAAGTATTATTCTATCACCCAATTATATAGCATTGAAAAAAACACGATCACTATGTTTCAAACTTAATTCTTTCTCACTCATGAAATTATATTTCTATTTGTTAGCAAACATAAATCCTGCAGAAGTTCTCATATCAATATGTCAAAATTAGTATCAAAAAATAAGTGAATTTTATAATCTGCTGTCATTACCTGTTTATTCACTGCATTACTTCACAGCTTTATGTATTCTGTTCTATATCTGCACGATTAGTATTCTGGCCATCTTAGAGAAGAACCTTCATAACTCTCAAAAACAAAGTTGCTTTTTTCATCTTCAAGGTCACCTTTTGCTTATTAAATAAATCTTTGCATGCTTACAGAATCTGTTAACTGACAGGGTAATTTTATCTTCTTCATCAGAAAACGTACTATTCATGCCAAACAGAACAGATTAAATCACCTGCTCCTTCTAAGATGCTTTATTGTACCTGTCCACTAAAGTTGGCATAAAATAATCTGTCTCTACGCAGTGCAGCTCAGCTTTCTTTTCCAACAGAAGAGAGGATAACTGAAATCTACCCTTTACTTTATCCTGTTCTCTAAAGTTTTAATGAAATTCTTCACAAAGCTAGGCAATCTTTTTAAGGCAAGCAATCCGCGCCAACAAAATATGATGCTGTCTCAACTGACTTGTGAAAACCACTTTATATTTTCTTTTGATATCTAGTGGAGAAAAACAACCACTAAGTAAAAATTCACAAAGAACAAATTTCAACTACAGAAATATGCCATTATTTCTATTATGTAGAATTCTTTTGAATTCTTAGGACTACTGTTGAATTCATAGGATTTACAGGGTATCAAGGGTTACAAGTTAAAGTGCCAGGAGCCAGATGGCTTTACCACTTTTCAAAAACACCTTGTTACCTGATTAAGTGAGGTGGTATCTGTAAGTACAGCATCAGGAGGTCTATCAGGTATGGCTACAGCTGCCTGAATTTAAAAAAAAAAAAAAAGAAACACGACATGTTAAATAGTTAACAAAATAATTGCTAGTCTCTTTACTGAAATTGGTATTTGACAAACAACCATGTTTCAACGTACAGTTATTTCTCGGTATCCAGGACACCAAAGTTTGCAGATGCTCAAGTCCCTTATACAAAATGGGGCAGTATTTGCATATAACCTATGCACATCCTCCCATACACTTTAAATCATCTCAAGATTACTTGTAATACCCAATACAATGTAAATACTGTGCATATAGTCTGAAAACTTTCTAGAAATTTTTTTATGGGTATTTTTGATCCACGGTTAGTTTAATCTGCAGATGCAAAACCCGTGGATGCGGAACCCATGGATATGGAGGCTGACTGTAATGAAATCTGTAAGCTGGATAAAAAGAAGCTTTTTTTAATACATTCAGCACATAATGACCTTTAAAATTCTGTAACTGTGAGCTCTGTCTACATTAAGAGTTCACTGAAATGACTCTGTATAATGAAAGGAATTACATAACCAGGTCTATTCTCTAGGCAACAAACATAGGGACTGTTCCCAATGCAAAAGAATACTTCTTTCCAGGGGAGGTCTTTGAGGTCAGTCTTTGAGGTTTGACCAACTCAGTGGACATGAATTTGAGCAAACTCCAGGAGAGAGTGGAAGACAGAAGAGCCTGGCATCCTGCAGTCCGTGGAATTTCAAGAGTCGGACATGATTTAACAACTGAACAACAAAAATGATCCCATGACAACGCTTCTTAGCTGTTTCCTTGCATGGTTCTCTAGCAAACTTCGAGTTGGACTAGTTTACTTACTGCTTCCATGGAGCTACCAGACTCCTCATGAGTATCACTAAAGTAACTTTGTTTTTAAAACCATCCTTACTTTTGGTTCCAATTATTTGGTTCCAAAATGAGTCCGTTTCCTTGGGAAGAGCTTCAGAGCTCTCTATTTTTAGAGCCTGCCTTGGCCCCAGGCAAAACCTCTGCGCCACTGCAACAGAGATGAGGGCAAGGACAGTGGCCCACTTCTCTCCAAGTGACATCCTCATTTACAAGAAGGGTACTGAGCAGGAGTAGGAGCTTCTGGTCTTCTCGGCTTACCTCTAGCAGCAGGGAGCCTTCACCCTATGAGCAGGCTGGGGCCAGAGTTATCTCAGCCCTAGTATTCTTAACATGCCATCGCAGAACAGAACTCTCCACACTACAAGTGGGGGCTAGGTGGGGGAAGAGAACCCCATAACTCTCGGCCACTTTCACCTGGAATAGAGCTTCTGCCACACAAGTTAGGGAAGGTAGGAGTGGGAAATAAGAAAAATGAGTGGCCTGCTCTGCCCAGGAAGATAGCGTGGCCCTATTCTGAGAGCTGAGGGCAGAAGTGAAGGCCGGGTTAAACTGGAATAAAATCCAAATTACAAAATATTTTTAGGAAAAATATGGTTTGGGGCAGATTTTGAGAACTCAACAGTAATTTGAATTGTTTTATGTATAAGAAATATTCTAGACACTTAATGAGTGAAGATTTTCATTTACATCAGGATCTCTTGTACATGTTAGGTTTTTCTAAAGAGTTTTGGGTGCAGGCAGTTTGTATAAGTAAAGATATTCTAGTAATTATCTCATGTACATTACACTTACCTCAGCTTGTAACACATATAACATGTTATATATTAAAATATACAAATATAAACAGCACTTCAAATCCAAGAACATATTCTGATTCAAGGAAGTTTAGATTACTAAAGCCCTACTCTGTGAAATTATACATATAGTAACTTCAAAATACAGATAAGCATCCTTAATGACACACGTGTGTCGTTTATGAAGTCATAGCCTACCTTGGCTTTGTCTGATGTCCGTTTTCCACCAAAGCCTCCAGAACCAACAACAAAGACGGAGAACTGATTGTAACATATAAGTTCCTCCCCAGAGTAAGAGTAGACTGAAAAGTAAATGAAAGAAGAGAGAAAAGAATTTATCATCAAAAGACATAACCAGTTAACCAATACATGATCAGCAATCCCTGTAAATGTTTCAGAAACAGATCGCCAGTCCAGGTTGGATGCATGAGACAAGTGCTCGGGGCTGGTGCACTGGGATGACCCAGAGGGATGGGATGGGGACTCAGGATGGGGAACACATAAATCCATGGCTGATTCATGTCAATGTATGGCAAAAACCACAATATTGTAAAGTAATTAGCCTCCAACTAATAAAAATAAACGAAAAAAAAAAATAAAATCCAATTACTAAAAGGTTTTGCAATTTAAAGACACCCAAGTTTGGGTTACAGAGCACTCACTTTAATCATACACACTACCAATCTCTAGAAGGCAGAGAAAGGAAGATCTTGAAAATCCTTTCATAACTATGAAACAGCAGTTCTTCTACCTTCTTCTAAAACTCCCCAACTGCCCTTCATATTTCAGTTTTCTCCTTCTCAAACTTTTCAGACAATTCCACTATAAAAAGCAAACTAACACACATGAAAAGACTTTTTTTTATCACTACTAATTATCAGAGAAATGCAAATCAAAACTATGAGGGAGTACCTCACACTGGTCAAAATGGCCATCACTAAAAAGCCTACAAATAACAAATGCTAGACTTAAAGTAATTAGCCTCCAACTAATAAAAATAAATGAAAAAAAAAATCCAATTACTAAAAGGTTTTGCAATTTAAAGACACCCAAGTTTGGGTTACAGAGCACTCATTTTAATCATACACACTACCAGTCTCTAGAAGGCAGAGAAAGGAAGATCTTGACAAATCCTTTCATAACTATGAAACAGCGGTTCTTCTACCTTCTTCTAAAACTCCCCAACTGCCCTTCATATTTCAGTTTTCTCCTTCTCAAACTTTTCGGACAATTCCACTATAAAAAGCAAACTAACACACATGAAAAGACTTTTTTTATCACTACTAATTATCAGAGAAATGCAAATCTAAACTATGAGGGAGTACCTCACACTGGTCAAAATGGCCATCACTAAAAAGCCTACAAATAACAAATGCTAGACCGGGAGCAGAGAAAGGGGAACCCTCCTACACTGTTGGTGGGAATGTAAATTGGTACAGCCACTATGGAAAACAGTATAGAGGTTCCTCAAAAAACTAAAAATAGAATTGCCATATAATCCAGCAACCCTACTCCTGGGCATATATCCAGACAAAACTATAATTCAAAAATACACAAGGACCCCTATGTTCACAGCAGCACTATTTACAATAGCCGTAACATGGAAACAACCAAAATATCCACCAACAGATAAATCGATGAAGAAGATGTGAGATACACACACATATACACAAAATGTGTGTGTACACACAAAACGGAATGCCACACAGCCATAACAAAAATGAAATAATGCCATCTGAGCAACAGGGACGCACCCAGAGATTATCATACAAAGCGAAGTTAAGTCAGAGAGAGACAAACAAATGTCATATGGTATCACTTCTATGTGGAATCTGAAATACAAAACAAATGAATGTATCTACAAAACAGAAACACATTCAGAGATACAGAGAACAGACTTGTGGTTGCCTAGGGAGACAGGGGGTGGTGAAGGGAGGGATTAGGAGTTTGGGATTAGCAGATGCTTCCTATATACAGGATGGATAAACAAGGTCATACTGTATAGCACAGGGAACCATATTCAACATTTTGTGATAAACCATAATGGAAAAGAAGATGAAAAAGAATGTATATATGTATAACTGAATCACTTTTCTGTACAAGAGAAATTAACACAACATTGCAAACCCACTAAAATTCAGTACAATTAAAAATTAAAATGCAGATAACCACACTCTGAAATTTTCAAACATTCTGCTGAAACCCTCAATAGAGCCTGAAATATAAAAGAGGAAATAGCAAGAATGAAGGTATAAGCTTCTGGAAGGCAGGATCATGACTCTTTTGCTCATATTATACTCTCAGCAATTAGAATAGTACCTGGGACAGAAAAAGCACCTAATACATATGTATTAATTAATGAATCAATGAACAAACAACATGAGTGAGCATGTTAATGAATAAGTAAGCAAGTAATAAATGAAAGATAGCTGTTCCTCTTTCTACTGACTACTATCCTTGTGGGAGTTTGAGCAGCATCTAAATTTCCAGCTCTGTAAAATTAGAAATATGCTTCTGAATAACATAAGGAAAAATATAATTATGACAAAAATAAGAAAAGCCATGGTTATTTATATTTAAAATAAGACATTCATCTTTATTACACAGAAAATTGGATACCTAATGTCATCTATGTTTTATCTACAAATTCTAATACATTATTATCCATTGTCAAGCTATAGGTAAGTAAATGGAGGAGATCAAGAAACAGAGTAAAAACTAAAGCTAAAATTACAACAAAACTTCAGAGTGGTACGTTACTTTTGGTAGAATGGTGAGAAGATTAAAAGAAAACTGGAGAACTGTAGCCAAATGTTAGCCAACATTTGAAATGACAAGAAAATACAAATATCTAAAAAAAAAGAGGGAGAAGGAAGAGGAAAAGGATAAAGAAAAGATTCATGTTCTATGTGCCTATGGTGAAATTTTTAAAAAACATGTAATAGAAAAATACTTAAAAGCATTAAAAATGTTCTAAATATATTATTAAGTAAAAACAAGGCAAGTTCCAAAACAACATATTCAGTATAACCTCAGGTATATATTAGAACAAAATGATAAAACCTACATTCCAAATACCAGATTAATATTAAACCTTCCACTGATACTTCCAAAATTTTTGATACTCTTTCTTGTTTTTGTTCTTAAACTTTATAAGATAAATTTTAAGCAAGGTGTCTTTGGCTTATGTTTAATTATTAGTATTTCAATATCTATTAAACTACTATAATCTTTTTTTCCACCGCAAATAAAATGTGGCTATGGTTTTAGAACCATATTATGAGTTCAATGCGTCTGAATGTGCAAGGTTAAAAACCTAACTACCACTTATAAGAATGATTCAGGGGTCAAATAGGTTCCCAGTACCAAAGAGCTAACATACGAAAGAATATTTACAACATAGCCTAATTATCAACTGAGGGTTGTCTTTGTATTCATTCCTGCTAAAACACACCCCAGGAAGCATAATTCCCCACTGTGTTCACTAGACCAGCCACAATTCCCATCTCTGCTTTGGTTATGTTGTCACAAATCCCCTGAAATGTCCCACTCTCCTAACCCCTTATTTTCTAAAAGAGTTCGTAAATTTTTAGAATGCTAATCTTGCTTTCTCACAAATTGGAAGGTAAATAGAAACTTATTGATCAACTTCTATGTAAAGTATTATGCTGCATACAAAGGCTATCGATTTAACAATAGTATTATAAGAACTGGAAATCAGTTACCATCCAGGAGAACCACTAAACCGGATCCTTTATCCATGATATCAGCAACAACTGTTTCGCATCTTAATTTTCCTAAAATGTAAAGTAAAAATAATAAATGCATAACAAATAAATGAGACGGTTTAAAAGCCATGAATAATATATTATATGAAGACATGAGAGAATTTAACGTAACTTCCACTGGAAGTTCAGCAAAACTAAAAAAAGGCATGGTTTAGAACAATTTTCAATATGATGCTGAGTCATAAACATGAAAAGCAATCATAATGCCTGAGTTAGCAAATTTGATATATTAGTAATTCTGATAAATTAGGTGGTAAAAAGTTAACAATTTTCAATCATTCAATGAACATTTCTTAAGCAAACAATCAACACCATTTACTCCATTCCTTATGGAACCTCTATTGGCTTCAATGAGACAATGTCTCCTTCTAACCACTTTGTTCTTTCAGGGACTCTTCTTCCCATCATTTAATTGGTGACCTTTTGATGGATTATCCTTTTTTCCAACCTGTTTCTCTCTTTTGTTCCCTACATGAATGAATGGTACTATCCACCCAATTGCCATGGCAGAAACTTCAGCATGATGCCTGCCTCATAAATTAGTGTCTAAATATATGACAAGACTTGAGTAGGCAGACATTAAGAGAAGTCCGAAGATACAAAAAGTTTTTTACTTCATCCTGAAGTCTACCAATAGCCATCTGAGCTTTTTAATAGGTAAGTGACAAATACACTTACATTTCAGAAATAATATTCTGGCTATGGTGAGATGAACAGATCTGAGGGGAGCAAGAATGGAGGCAGAGAGAACACTTGGATAGTGAGAGATAATGGTGATCGAAATGTGGTAGACAGAAATAGGATCCTAAGTGCACCAAAGGGAGAAAATCAAAGATCTTGGTACCTGCCTGGGTATGAAAGATGATTGAAAAAAATAAAATAATGCTGATGTTAACTAGGTTGCTGTCACTTTCATCTCCTAAGCTGCTTCTGATTCTTCCACTTCTATCTCTCCACCACCACCTTTGCCTAAGCTACCATCATTTTATTTCAACTACCACAACAGACTTCTAACTAGTTACCTACACATTCACTCTGACCAACTTTAACACATGCTCCATATTATGTCTGAAGCGATTTTTTCCCAGAGGCAACTTGATTATGCCAAATCCTTCTATTTTAAGTCCTAATGGTATCAAGTATGTTTCATCTGTAATGTTTATCACATATAGTTGTAATTATACATTTATTTGTGTGTGGTTTTTTTTTTTATTATAGGCTGCCCTCCCCAACAACTAGGTTATATGCTCCAAAAGGACACAGTCCAGATTTGTTTCATTTTCCGTTTATTTGTAACCCTAACAGAAAGCCTTAGATGTTAGGAAGCAACTGATAAATAATTGTCAAATTGCAGATGATAACCCAAGATAATCAACTCCACATTTAAACAAATACCAAGCCTACTTCTTTTATATCCCTACAGTTTCTCCACTTATATCCCTACTGATGCCTACAATCCTCGTCAATCAACCACATTCTCTAATCTAGATTATTACAAAAGTCTCTTACAAAATCTCCTTCCCTCTGTCTCATTCCCTTATCAATCCAAGCACTACAAACAGGAGCCAGAGCTCATGCTTTCTAAAACCCACATTTGATCATATAATTCTCTCCTTACAGTCCTTCAGTAGTTATCTATTGTCTTTAAAATAAAAGTCAAACTTCCTCACATAACCACACACTGCACACTGCCTCAGATACAAGGAACTGTGTAAAAACAGGCTGATTTTTAATACCAAACTGAAGACTCAAATTGAGATGGCAGAGTAGGAGGACACAGAATCCACCTCCAGCACAAACTCATCAAAAATACACCTCCACTGAAAATTAAGTGGAGACCAACAGAAAGACTCCTATACAACCAAGACTACAAAAAAGACCCACAGGTAATCAGATAGGAAGTGAACAAAAGCAATCAGGTAAGGACCGGTGGGAGAGGACTCAAAGGAAAAGGGAGATGGTGGAGGGCGAGACCTTCCTGGGGGACTGAGCAATTTAAGCCACATATTGGGTGTCCAACAAAGGAGGACAAGCTCCCATGGCTGGCTGGAAGGCCACTGGGACAAGAGCGTTATGGGAAGCCTAGACTCCAGGAGTGAGTGAATACTCACTTATTCTCAAGGCAGGGCAGAGAGGGCGTACTGAAACCACCCGGGTGGCTGACTGGTTCTCTACAAAAAAAAAAATTCTCTGGTTCCCAGCCTGAGCCGAGGGAACACTCCATCACCACACATCACATCACAGCTCCACAGTCTAGGCTGCCATGATCAAGGAAAAGCCTCAGCTATAAGATGCTAAGGAGGTCCAAGCCCTAAGCGGCATCTGAACAGGGAGGGGACAGCCATTACTGGCGACTGTGCAGAGGGCCCAGATCTCTGATGGTGGCCAGGCCAACAAAGCCCATGCCCCACCCCTCACTGAAATACCCATACCAGCCACTCCTCTACTGAACCACTCGGGGGCAAGGATGTCGGTGCTTGAAGTGGGAAGAGCACACACCTAAAGGGAACTGAACCAGCTCAGACCCAACCCTCAGGGCTTCTGCTCCAACAATTAGAGAGCTGCCCCTGTCCCTAAATGGGGGGGTGGGGGGGTTCAGGGGGACAGCAACTAAGCTGAGAAGCCCCACCTAACATCTGACTCTACTCTTCCATCTCTAGCCCCACCCCCTACAAAGGTGATAGCTGTCAGCACACCCTGAGGAAAGACCTAAACTGTGCTCACATCAAATCCAGCCCTCCCATCAAAGCCACTGGGCACCTGCAGACTGTACAGGGGCACACCCACAAAAGAAAAACCGTAATAATTGTTTCACCTGATTTCAATAGATAAAGAAATAGATAAGCAAAGGAAAAATACAGAGGAGTCTGTTTTGATTGAAAGAGCAAGAGAAAATTCCTGAAAAAAACAACAAACGAAACAGAAATAAATAATTTACCAGATAAAGAATTCAAAGCATTAGTAATAAGAACGCTAACTGAATTAGGAAAAAGAATAGACAAATACAATGAGAGCTTTAACAAGGAACTAGAAATTTTTAAAAAAGAACCAATTTGTATGGAAACACAAAAAACCTCGAATAGCCAAAGTAATCTTGAGAAAGAAGAATGGAACTGGAGGAATCAATCTGCCTGACTTAAGACTATACTACAAAGCCACAGTCATCAAGACAGTATGGTACTGGCACAAAGACAGAAATATAGATCAATGGAACAGAATAGAAAGCCCAGAGATAAATCCACGAACCTATGGTCACCTTATCTT